TTAGAGCGTCGTTATTAACGCGGTGTCGGGGCGCAGGGGACACCTTGGGCAGCGCAACCCCGGGGTCCATCAGTCCCGCAGCCCCGCTGCCCAGGCCGATTTGGTTTTTATTTTTTAAAAAATACAACGTCAAGAATTCGCTCGTTAGGAAGAGAGAGCCCTCCGCGCGGGGACGCCGTATTTTGTTTAATTGCGTTTTTGCACGGCCAGACGGGGAGAGCGGAGGCCGCGGTGAGGGGCGCGGGGCCCCGCGGCTCTGCGGGCGCTGCTGACCCGCTGCCCGGCCTCTCTCTGCAGGTGTTTCGGGACCAAGTGCGCGGGCTGTGCCCAGGGCATCTCCCCCAGCGACCTGGTCCGCAGGGCGCGGAGCAAAGTGTTCCACTTGAACTGTTTTACGTGTATGATGTGTAACAAGCAACTCTCCACCGGCGAGGAGCTCTACATCATAGACGAGAACAAGTTTGTCTGCAAAGAAGATTACCTAAATAACAGCAATACTGCCAAAGAAAACAGCCTGCATTCAGGTGAGGGAGCGCAGCCCGGGTGATGCGGGCAGGGATGTGCTCAGCCCCGGCTGCTCCTTGGCATGAGATGCTCTTCTCCCTTCTTCTCTCCTTTCCTTTCTCCTCTTCTTTCTCCCGTCTTTTCCTTTCTATCTTCTTTTCCTTCTTTTTTCTTTCTTTTTTCTTTCCTTTCTCCTTTCTCTCTCCTCCTTTCCCTTCTTTTTCCTGTCCTTTCTCCTCTCCCTTCTTTTTCCTCTTCTTTCTCCTCTCCCTTCTTTTTCCTCTTCTTTCTCCTCTCCCTTCTTTCTCCTGTCCTTTCTCCTCTCTCTTTCTTTTCGTTTCATTTCTTTCTCCTCTCCATTGTCTCTCCTTTATTTTTCTTCTCCCTTTCTCCTCTCCCTTTTTTCTCCTCTCCCCTCCTCTGCCCTATCGTACCACGGCCTGTCCATCACGGTCGTTATTTCCCCCGGGCCGCCCCCGGCTGACCATGACCCGGTTTGCTCTCCCCCAGCCACCACCGGCAGTGACCCCAGCCTGTCCCCCGACTCTCAAGACCCCTCCCAGGACGACGCCAAGGACTCGGAAAGCGCCAACGTGTCCGACAAGGAGACGGGCAGCAACGAAAACGACGACCAGAACCTGGGGGCCAAGCGGCGGGGACCTCGCACCACCATCAAAGCCAAACAGCTAGAGACTCTGAAAGCCGCCTTCGCGGCCACCCCAAAACCCACCCGGCACATCAGGGAGCAGCTGGCACAGGAGACTGGCCTCAACATGCGGGTCATCCAGGTACCGCTGCCTCCGGGCTCCGGGCACGGCTCCGGGGGG